CGCAGCTGTCTTGACAAGGGCTTGGCACCGTTATCGAGCACTTTTGAGCCTGAAGAATGGATCATTTGTCACTTCACTGGGCAGCTCTATCCAACCCTACTAATCAGATTCTCTATTCCGCCTCAACTCAATGTAGGTTATTGCCACTTAATTTGTGTGGCTTTATATATTCAGAATGGTTTAGCTGATTTGTGTAGCAGGGAAACATTCCCATTTTATGCGGCAATCGTGAAATGTCTCTTGAATTGATATTGATAGCCTATTGCACCAAAAACAATTATTGGCTGATTAGTATCATTGTGCTGCTAGAGACTGATGCTTCATTAAGTTGTTTTATTTGTTGAGTCATTATATTTTTTACAGGTCTACTTGTAAAACAGATAGATGTCAGTACTCACAATCATTTTTCCTCTTCTTTCTTATAAAGGGCAGTGTTACTCCATATGGGAATAGATTTACACACTGTGGAAGGAACACATAGTAGAAAACGCTTCATTTACGAAAAACACGGCAATCAATTTTCATGAATCGTATAACTAATTCATAAGCACTTACAATAAGCCAGCATTTATGTTTACTTTGGATACTTTCAGGTGAAAACGGTGGAAGAGGTCATGGATGTTGAGGGAGACGTGTCTGAGGAAAGTCAGATATCCGAGTCGGATTTTGATGATGATTACAATGACATCGGTGAGGACTTTTCGGGGTGCAGTTTTTGCGGCCTTTCCTCGAATTTGCTACACCCGCACAAACATCTTCTATAGTTTGCTTCGTCTGCCTTGTTTGTCACGAAATTCGATATTAACTGAAAAGCTGATGGAGAGGCGGAGCCAACATTTCGATGGGTGGGGTTTGGGTTATAGAGTGCAAAACACACATCAACTAAGCGAAACCTCTCACCTTGGGCGGGTGTGCGTCGCAATGGGAGGTGCGGAGAGCGAAAATTCCCAGTTTCGAAAGCCAGTTTTGAAGGAGCTCGCAGACCGCGAAAAAGATAAAGGTGGGCATAGGGTTATGAGGTTATATTAGGTCGGTCCACAATTTTTGAGAACCTTTGGTGTTTTTCGATTTATTACTTATCTTATTTCTCTGATCTACTTATCCAGCATAGTATACATCATTATTATTAACAACATATCACCAATGCGAGGGTGGGTATTCAGTGCCTCTCTTGTGGACTTTCATAGAGTTCTGATCGAAGGAAAATTGTAGTCCCGAATCAGTTCTCAACCCAATCTGACATCATCAAGTTCCTGTTGGTTTCCCATAGTTCCTTCGGATGACCATCTATAATACTCATTGGTGATGTGGACTGGGTGCAGTGTGCTAACAAGAGCCGCAGTAGATTTGCTCAAACGATTCGGGAGTTCTGACAGTAAAAACCCAACTCCCTCTGAATTCGAACTTCCTGAGTCGTTGGCGCAATACGGGAGGGCCTTTGCGCTGAAGACCGGCATCAACTAATACCAGTGTCAGTGATGGGAAGAATCGTTGACAGCTTGATGGCAACGCCTTCAACTTGAAAGCAAAGGAAGACAAAATCTATTTTTTTCTGAGGTCGTTCGAGCCCGCCTTGCTAAGAAAATTCCTAAAAAATTGGAGACTCTCGGGCGGTCAGTTCTTTTAGCTCCGCCTTGTAGCACTAATCCTGCGTCAACGAACGACTATCCGCTCTCCTCTCTCAATCACCTTCTGGAGAAGAAATCTCACTTGAATCACCATAAAGTCAAAATCGACATCCAAATTTCTTCGATCAGAACTCTATGAAATTCTACAAGAGAGACACTGAATACCCACCCTCGCATTGGTTATATGTTGGTAATAATGGTGATGTATACTATGCTGAATAAGTACATCAGAGAAATAAGATAAGTAATTGAATCGAAAAACACCAAAGGTTCTCAAAAATTATGGACCGACCTAATATTTGCGAAACACGCTCATGGTGCGCTTAGCGTTTTTCGATTGGTCCATACTTAACCCTTTCCGGACCGCGCACTTTCGCCATGGCGGGCGTGTGTGGCCGACGCCTTTTTATCTCACTGCCGACTGCTGCGCGGCGAAAACAAATATGATATATTTGACCTGTTTTTCAATCAGACACCATTTATTGTCTTTGAATTTATAATATTTGTCATATCCAAAAGTTATCTATGTGGTGAATTTGACAGAAAACTTTTGCATAAAAAACATGATAGGGCCATAAAAAGGGAGGCAGAAATGGAAATTGCGCAAAATAAGTTGTAATGGGAAAAAAGGGAAGAGAAAGGTCCAAAACGTTTATATGCAGTAGCACCAGATACGCGTACACGTCATGGCATAAATTCTGTCGTATGAAATATTTTCAAATCTTTTTACAACTGTTTTCATTCAGCTCAAAGTGGGAATCCATTTAGTTTTTGGTCATTTTAGGAAGTAGTTTGAGATCGAGGACTAGGTTTTTTCATACGTACGACATGAGTATGTTACATAGATATGTAACAACATAAAACATTTTGTCGAAAAACCGAATCCTTGGAAAAATCAGCCCTGACACCCCATGGGTGTCAGGCGGCCACAGGGAGCAAATTGGGCCTGACACCCCATCGGTGTCAGGCGGTCCGGAAAGGGGTAAATAGCAAAATAGAACGTTTTGCGATAGATGTATGTAACGATAGATGTTTCGCCTCCACCTTTACTCGTTACAGGTTAGTATGGGGAGCAGAATAAGCTGTGGAGATGAGCAATGTCTATGGAGTACCAAGCATTCTTATGTGGGTCACGGTTTCTAAATCTTGGTAGCTTTTTTTATGAGGTGATCACAGACAAAGAAAACGGTGGCCAGAGTCTAGCGAAGCAGGGGAGACCATATGTAAATTGCGGGATGAGCTGATTGGAAGAGGAGAGTATATTCACGGAATTCTGTTCCGTTGTTATGAAAATTCCGAGTGAAAGAAATTCGAAGTTTCGAAATATGTCTCGAGATATATCGGTCATTCTACAAAACTTATGAGCATTTCATGGTCTATGCTCTAGTTTTCAAGGAGATGTTGAAAAACCTTTTTATCCATAAACGCTGGTTATAGCCCCTGAATACAAAGCTGCATATGAGATCAGGTAAGAAGTGGATCTGTTGTTGATGCGCACATTTAGGCATTTTTCCCAGTCCCTCGTCTGTTCTGGAATCAGTTTGAAGATTACGTCGTCAATGCCTTTTATTTCGATGCACGCCACGCCCACTGTGGGCGGGGCTCCGCTTAGCTGATGTGTGTTTTGTACTTCTCGAGATATGGCCCACCCATTCCACACTTGACCCGGTCTCTCCAGGCGGATCTCCAAGGAGCTAGGGAATTTCGTGACAGGCACTGTGACAGACAGACGAATCGAATTATAGTTAGTGAGATGTGCGTGTTCTCGCACATTTAGCTTTACTTTGATTTCAAGTAAGGTTTAAACGATTGCACTAAATGCTTTGTTTAGAAGGTGTTGTTGGAAACGAATGGGGACGAAAAAGAAAGGATTTTTATGGAACAGAGTGAGTCGTTGAAACGATTCTGTAGGCTTAGGAGCACTTAATGTTTCTCTTTCGATACAGTTATTCGCGAGTGAACAGAAATGCTGTTTTTGGTGAACGAGTGAAAGAACTATGCTGAAGTGATTTTCTTGGTCCTTATGTTTTTTTTAATGTTCTTCTGATTGTAAATTGAAGTCGGTGTCATCATGAGGATTTTAACGGTTCTTGTTATATATTCCTACTCATGTTCAAATTTAATAATATATTTGTCGTTGATGGGCGGAAGTGATGTAGT